GGTGCCATTGACCTGTGCTTTTTTCCCTGTTGGGGACGATCCACGTCCGGGTTTGGGGGCCCCTCCGTGTGCTTGCGGAATATGGGTGGGCCCGGGGGACATTCCCTTCCATGTTGTTTGGCCCATTGGCCCCCACGAGGGATGGGGGGGCGGCCCCCTGTTCCTTTTTTTTCATGGGGGTATCCCCGAGACGGCTGGGAAGACTTCCCCGCAGTGTGGGGGGTTTCCCCCTTTTTTTGGGGTTTTCCGCAATTCCACAGCCCCAGCAGCCCCAGGGGTGATCCCCATTCCATGATAGAGGGCCCCCCCAAAGCCCCAACCCCTGGGCAATAACCCCGGGGGAGCCATGGTATTTTTCCCCGCCCCCCCCCCAAATGCCCCCCCCCCCCCCCCCGGACCACGATTTTCGATTAGTGGGCCTATGTGTCTTGAATTTTTTTCTACGAGTACCCTTGATCCATCGATAACTTTTCGAAGGAGGAAGCAACAGCAATAGCAAGGCCGCTCGGTCGGAGAAAGCTCTCTGTTTCATCTTTCTTGCCCAAGGTTTGGTGCTGTGGGGTATCGTGCGCATCGGGAAAAACGCTTTGATCGACCCCAAAGTACCCACGTCAGAGAGCAGTTGGTTCAAGTTCGCAGGGATTGTGTGCGCATGGTTTGGTTTTTCAGCGATAACTTTTCGAAGGAGAAGGCAACAGCAACAGCAATGCCACCCCGAGGGAGCTAGCTCTACCCAGCATCTTTCTGGTGTACTAGGTTTGATGCCTTGGGGTATCGTGAGTGCGGAGAAAAAGTGTTGCAACTACCATCTCCCGCACGCTGTGACCGCTTCTTTCGCGGTGCAATATGGAAGGGGCGTGCCTTCTTTCGCCGTTGCTAATAAACAAAAAAGATCACGCCTCCGCATTCCGCCAGTCCCGTGCACAAACGTTTCTTCGTCCCATAATGAGCGTGCACAAAAAGTGTTATTGACAAACTTCCCGAGCAAAGTTGCAGAAAACGTTTGCAACTTTTCTTGCAACGTTGTGGAGCCAAAAAAAGCGGTGTTCGCTTCGTTCCACAAGAGGTGTTGAAGGGGGCGGTTTGGCCAAAAGCGGCGAAGCTTCGACCGTTTCCACTCGTCGTTTCCCGCCCTTGAGCTTCAGAAGGCACTTGAGAACCTTTTGTTGTGGCCGAGGCTCTGGTTCATACAATAGTAGTTCCCAGGGTTATGCTACGAATGGCCGCTATGTAGGTTTTCGTGTAGGAGGTCTTAACCGAACTCACAAAGGTGCTCAAGTTCCTAGGTTTCGAGTTTCTTTAGGCTATGTCAATTTCACAAAGGTGCTCAAGTTCCTAGATTTTGAGCTTCTTTAGGCTATGTCAATTTCACAAAGGTGCTCAAGTTCCTAGATTTTGAGCTTCTTTAGGCTATGTCAATTTCACAAAGGTGCTCAAGGTCTTGAGTGCGGGCGCGTTGAGTAGTCCATGAAGTACATGCCAGCCCCGGCGGCATCGTTCGAGACCGACTGTGCATGGGTGAGCACTACCATGCATACCACGAAGTACTGTTTTAAGAACGTCGTCTCCTGGAGCAACGTTGTTTGTTATAAAAAAAACATTCGGAGGATATGATGTAATACGCGGTACGCCACAGTGCTGTTCTCAACATGACACATGTCCTTGAAACTCCATTTCCTCAAAAACAATTATACAAACCTGGCTGGCTGATGTCTGTCGGGTGTCGAGTCATGATTAAGCAAAAAAACTATTGCAAAATGAAGGCATGTGGGCAAAAGGAACAAAATAGTGTAGCCTTGGTTTCATCTGGTCTTGCTCGCAATCACCACTAACTCACTGATCCCCCCCCCCCCCCCCC